TCTTGTGTTGGGAGAAATGGGAGGATTCTGGTGTCGCGAAGCCTCCGTGTCGGAAGCAACCAGCAGGATGTGAAACACGGAGTGTGAAGTGTCACGCAGGCTCTTCTGGACTATACGCCGAAGGTATATTTTTGGGTACCACGATGGATGGCGTTCGTGCCTCATCATTTAGTTACTTCAACACGTAGTTTCCGTAAACCGGGGGACCTCAACATAGAAACCAAACAACTACAATCCTTGCTCCATTGCTGGGTCATGTATACCCCATAATAATATTCCTATATCAACGTAAACCCGAACAAATCTTTAAATCCTCAACCCTAATTCTTAAACCCCTACTTCTAATCCCTAGATAACCCTTATTTCCCCCAACAACGCTCACCGGACTTTTTGTTTGGAAACGGTTGGCAGCTTTAGGAAGGCCAGTTGACCCAGAGATATGCTGGGCCGGAAACAAGTTCATACTTTAGGTCATTCCCTCTTACAGTAGCAACCACCATTAAAGGTAATAGGAATTGTAACGGGCCCGCAAGACAACTCCTTAAAAGACAGTCACGGTGAGGTGGAAGTACCTAATTCTTACACCTGTGCTTACTGTAGGGTTGTAGGGTTCAGCTTATGGATAGGTACAAGTAGTGGTACAGATGCAAAGTACAAATGGACAACCCCTCCTGTATCCATATCTGCAGTTATGAATTACGACAATCCAGGACCCACCATGCGATTATCTACATCCCGCCTTAGGATGGAGTAGACTTGAGATCCTTGTGCAGCCGATGGGATATGGGCCCTCATAAGCCCTAAAGAATCCTCATGTATCCCCAAACTAGCTAGGATACATAGTCCCCCTTACGTAGATAGAATATGGGGAGTATGGGGATCTTAGTTTTATATACCCAAAGCCATATTCTACAGTATCTACTTATGGGGGTCGATATCCCCAGCTTGGCCCCCCCAGATACCAGTCCGTAAGCCTGTTTTTTCAAGGTCAAGACCATCCAACAGGCTCTGCGATCACTTCCGCTAGTAGCGGACACGGATGCTGGGTCGATTGGAGTAATCTAGGGGCCTAAATATTTACCAATATTATGGTTCCATATTCCTTGTATAATTTTGGTCTATGGTACCTGAAATGGACGTCAACATGATATTGGTAATTATTTAGGCCCCTGTAGTAGACTTTTCCAGGGAGAAGATGTAACGAGGTCTAAGGATTGATCTGCAGTTTCCACAGGGCTTATAAGGTTAGGTGTAATTTAAGATCCCACTGTGGGGTGAGTTCTTCCTGAAGATTGCAATGTGGCCGCGTGAGAAGTGCATCTCACTTGCATGCCACAGACTCTGTCCGAGACTCAGAAAAGTATGCGAATTTAAGATCTTGAAAGGGCACGCCTAAAAGCTGCTTACACTTACCTTTGGTTAGCTAGGAGTGAAGGAATGGATGCTTACAGTAGCCCGTATATAACCCGTGAAAGTAGTTTCCATTTTCTTTTCCATTCCTGCATTCCCAGCTAACCAAACGTAAGTACAATCCCCACACACCCCAAGACATGGGGGTTTCCCAAAAATGAGGGGTATCATTTGGGGAGTCCGAATAAGAAGGGCTATTGTATTTTTTGGATCTATATTGGGTCCCCCTATTTTGGGAAGCTACAACATTTCCTGAAATGACTCAGGATAGCCTGGAAGTCTTGATGGAAGATGAGGCAGGCTGACCCACATGTGCACACTTTTAGCCGGGAATGGAAAAGACAAGGGAAAAAACGGGGACCGTTAGAGAAGTGGCCACAGAGTGATTATTGGGATCCACTGCCCGCATTCCCAACATGGCATGCTTAAGGATACCCTAGTCCAAGCAATAAAGGCCAAAACCTCGCGTAAACGTCTTGTAATCGGTTTGTGTCCCATGGTCCACAGAGTTACAGCCCATTTTTGAGAAACCACCCAAATGCTAGTTTCCCAAAATAAGGGGACCTTTAATATAGACCCCAATATACTATATTCTTAATTATGGGGACCCCCAAATTGGTACCCCCAATTTTAGGAAACCACCCAAACGAGGAGCTGCTGATTGTTGCGAAGCCTGCCGGTCTGCAGCTTAATGTAGACCCCTGATTAATTGATCCCCTTCCTTTTGAGGGCCTCAATATTAGGATCCCTATTATACTTCCGATTAAGGGGAGGGGTTTATTAATCAGGGGTCTGGGTTACTGTCGGACGTTCAGGATGGGGTGCAGGCTTTTGGGTTTGTAGGGGATGAGGTTCTGTGGCTCATGCGTTGTGGATTATAGTCCCCTTTAAGTAGATAGAATGTGGACTAGGGTAAATTGTACTAAGATCCCTATATACACCATAATCTATCTACTTGAACGGGATTATAGGTTGTTGGTTGTTTCAGGCGTTGTTGAATTGGCTTTTTGGTGCTTGTCTGCTGCTCCCGTGGTCGCTGTGATCCCTCCAGGCACATTGGGGTTTCCCGTAATTAGGGATACCATTTAGGGGATCCCCATAGTAAGGACTCTAGTATATTGGGGTCTAGATTGGGTTCCCCTGTTTTGGTAAACTACGATTGTTCTGGGACATGTTCGCAACAGCAATGTAAGTGTCGATGGCGGCAGCTGCACAGTGAAACCTATAGACCTTCAGTTTCCGTTTCATATTCCGTTTGATTCTCCGCTATTGAGTTTGATCCTCTATGATAAACCTATATGAGCCCTGGACTAAATTTGTAGTATACCTTCATAGCCCCCCCCCCCAATACCGAATATAGTCCCCTATCGGTCCCCCCCCAACCTAAATTTAGTCCGTAGCTCATATACCCCTGGAACCCCAACCCTAAACCCTAACCCTAAACTCTTCCCTACATACCTCTGGAACCCCGATGAACCCTTCATCAGGGTGCGAAGCAACTCTGCCTCTCCGAGCGTATCACGCCGCCTCCATAACCATAGCTTAACCCCTTCAAACCCTGAAGTTTGCACATAAACAATATAAACCATAATCTAAACTTCTTAGGGGGGATTAGATAGGGACTACTACAGGGGTTATTCAGGGGGGTACTACGAGTTTAGACTATGGCTCATATGGTACTTTCGGGTAATTTCCATTTGCTTTTTCGTTCCCGCCATATTTATGTGTGTATATATCTGTAGATTCGTGTTTACGTGATAAACTACTCATAGGGATGATGGACCGTGGGGACAGGCTCCCTGCCTTCACTACGCAGCAACCCCGTCAATGGATCTATGACTTAGGACGTCTCAGACAGAGGATGCTTTTTGCCTTCGATTTGTAGTATAGAGTGCCGGATACATGGACGCTACGCTGCCCTGAGGTCTTCCGGTATCACCGAGCAACCGTTACAGGGGTGGATCTTTGCTGAATCAGGCCCGCTAATCACATCGCTGGGGGTGCCGGGACCCTCCGATGTTGCTCCCCTTGTGGTTTGCAATTCTTGAGGGTTGGATTTTGATTATGGTTTGAGGCCCCAAATCATCTGGTGTGACAAGACTGACAAGACTCGTGCCAAGAACGGCTCTTGCCTTCTTGCCAGAAGCAGTGGAGTTGGTTCGGGGTTCAGGACTTCAGGTCTCAAATGCAGGACTTAGGGAGGATAGAATATCGAATGTGAGAAGTCCATACCACATATTGCCTTTATTGCCCCATGCTCTATAGACCTGAGAAGGGCTGTAGGGTTTGGTTTTGAACTGGTTGATTGAGACCCTGAGCGATCTGCATATGAACTCCACGATTCTTGCAGCCAGAGTGGAGTATGCCCTCTGCTTTTGTGAGCTCTGTAGAACCTGGTTCCGGCCCCGGTAGTAGTACACTCACGTGATTCGGCTTCGGGGGGGGGCCCCTGAGCCAAAGCTTGATCACCGCGCGGTCTCTGACTACGGGCTTTTGGCAGAGGAAGTCATGGAATCATCAGCGATAGTTGCCTTTTGCTTGTCATGATGGGCTAGACAGGGGGTCGAGTTACCTTGGACTTCATCGGATCTGCATTGTTGGTGCTTCGCGCCGGGTTTTCATACGAAGTTGTCATCCAAGCTAAAAAGTAGGCCAGCTTTACATTGAAGCTCCCTAAAGGCCCTCGTTGGTAATCTACAGCGGGAATATTGTATTATTACTATTATTAATTAGTATCATTTCTATTATCACTTGTTGTTACTATCATTACTCCCAAGCAGGGTCTTGTGGAGCTTTGCGCCTCAAAAGTGTCGGGTGCGTGTCAAGGCTGACAACTGACCAAACTCCAAATGTCAGATCCTGGAAGTGTGGATGAATAGTAACAAGAGTAATGAGAGGAATAAGAGGAATCAGAGTACTAAAGGTAATAAGGGTAAACATCGTACTAGTAGCAATGGTATTGTGTTTCTGCTGGAGGCCTTGTCTCATTGCGGAGATCTGCCCCACACCGTCCACCGTCTGGACTGCGATGCTTGAGATCTGTTGGAAGCAGTTTTAGATGGAATTTCACGCTTATGAGAAATGTCTTTTATCGTTCACGAGATATGACATATGCATGTCAATAAACATCTAGACTTGTCTATATCTATGTCTATATCTACTTGTATTTCACATAGAGTTTTCATCCCAGTTATCGGTGGCCAATCTTCTTCACTCGGCTGTACATGGCCAAAACCCTCGTTTCTAAGCCCTCAATCAGAATTCTTCCGGCACCTGGCCGCCCTAAACCCTGGACCCTAAACCAAAAACCCAAACCCTAAACTGTAAATTCAGATCCTAAGGCCCCAAATCAAAACCGAAAGCTGAGAGGACCTTCCGAGCAGACGGAGAACGGTGTCCTAAAGCGACATCAAGCCCCAAACTCAACACTTTAAATGGCAGACTTTCCCTTGATCCTAGACCCCAAACCCCAAGCTCAAAACTGCTAGTCCTAAACTCTAAGCCCCTAAGTCCAGCTCCCCAAACTTCTCATCTTAATAAGAAAAGTGCTTGGTCCAAACTGCCCCTAAACCCTAAGCCCAAACTCCAAGGATACCAGCGGCGCCGTTGCCTTGGCCAAGACGCAAACCTGCGCTCGAGATCTTGGAGCTGCTTGGAGGAGAGCCAGAGTGAGATCTTCCCAAGAGTGATTGATCCTAATGGTACTAATAAAAGTATTAGTAATACTGATAATAGTAGTAATAGTTGTAAGAATACGAACTTTAATAGTTACAATAACAAAGCATGCTGGAAACAGGTGTCCTCAACCATGGGCTTGAAGGTCCAAGCACGACTAGTCCAAAGGCCACTGAAGTACAGCTTCAAGCACGAAACCGCACAGCTTAATATTCCTCGCACCCCCTAGGCTAAAGGCCTTCACTCGTGTAATCAGCGCTTGTTGATCTTGAGGCTCAATTTCGGGAGTCCCGAGTTGACGCTCAGCAGCAAGAGCCCAAATCAAGCATGCGCTGCTTCCTTTCATACGTGAAGCTTGGTAAGCGACTTTGTCTGGATTTCCAGGAGGATTACGGGGGAGGGGGGGGAGCTTAAACTGACAGGTGTCCCTCAAGCCCTGTAGCTCAGCCACACACCCCAGTGTTTGCGCTTGTAGGATCTGGGGTTTTCAGGTTCTTAAGTTAGGGTTGGGGATTTGGGGTCTGCAATTTTACTGGTGTTTCCCCATACCGTGGCCACGTAAGCAAACTCCAATAGGTCAATGTATTTTGTGCTTAGCCTCTGCGCAAGTTTACTGGTATACATGCTGTCTAATAACCGCAGGGGATCTTCTGAAGCAATGCAACCCAAGCCATGAAACTGAAAGCAGTTTGTTTCAAACAGCCCATACATCTCAGCTTTGGGTCAAGCACAAAATCGCTTCTCTGTTGACGGCAGAGGTCTTTTATTTTTACTACTACCACTACCACTACTACTACTACTACGACGACGACGACGACGACGACGACGACGACGACGACGACCACTACTACTGTTACTGTTGACACTATGGTGTTCCTGCTGCTACCGCTCGTGCCGTTAATATATGTTACAATCTGGGATGCACAAGGCCATCAGAAGCTCCAGCACCACGGCGCCAATGTAAGGACTGCGCAAAGGAACGCTGCAAAAGCCCACTCGTAGTCAGAAGATAATTTCAACAAGAACAACAAGATGATTCTTTGAACGGTTTTTTAGTTTTGCAAGAACAACCTTAAAGAGAACAAGGAATCTCAGAAAGCCACAGTCGTAATTCAGATGCCATGGCAAATCTTTTGAACTTGGCAAGTGGGATCATGGTTAGGATTGTATTTGGAAGGTAAAAGCAGGATCTTCATCTTGCCTTGTCCCCTCGCGAAAGACAGCACCACTCTAAGAACAACTACCCCAATATGGTACCATCATGCTAGGGGGAATATTATGTGATGGTGGGATAGGACCCAGGCAGCCCTAAGATCAGCCAAGGAGAAGATCTATTTGCTGCTGAGTGCCGTGACGGGACGCAGCCCTTGGCCTCAGTTCCCACGCTGCAAAGAGAAGGCCAGGAGGGTTCAGGGTTTAGGGTTCAGGGTTTAGGGTTTAGGGTTCAGGGTTTAGGGTTTAGGGTTCAGGGTTTAGGGTTTAGGGTTCAGGGTTCAGGGTTTAGGGTTTAGGGTTTAGCATTAGAGGGTATCTATCAGGTGTTTTGTTGGTGATCAGTAGGGAATAATGACATATATTACAAGGGTTTATAAAGGGCTTGTATTCCTTTATGCCCTGGTAATCACCAGTAAGCTTAGGGATCTATAGGTGTGTAAAAGGCCAAGATCGAGATTCCTGCTAACCAGCAGTAAGCTTAGGGATCTAAAGGTGTGTAAGGGCAAGATCGAGATTCCTTGTATGCACATTTGTCACAAGCTAGGGCTTTGTTGATGGTTACCAAATCAAGGTTTGCATTTCAAACATGGCCCAAAGAGAGACTCCATGCGGCTGCCCACCCCTTCATTACAGGGGGACGGTGCTAGGCTGTACCGCCGCTTAGGATAACTAAAGTAAATTTCGTAGGGTTCAGAGCAGTTGGGGTAGCTTTCTACTCCATCAGCAGTATGCAGATGAGACAAGAGCTTTACAGGGACTAAACTGCGGTAGCCTTCAGGATCTAGCCCGACTTCTAGCAACCTGTTTCCGCAGACTTTCATCTTACTCCCCATTCTCTCAGGTCACCTCAATCCTCACGTTCCGTAGGGTCAAAGCTCTGAGCCAAATGTGCTGCTGCCCTCGAGAAGTACAGTAACTGGGGCAATTGTGGCCATGGAATACAGGTGCACGGTTCAGGGGCTGTAGAGACTTTAGAGACAACCGCAGATTCCCCCCAAAAACAAAGGCTGCAATCCTTAAAAAGTTTGTACATCCCTTCCAGAGGTGGATTGTAGCATGGACGAAGCGACAGATTTGGGAACGGACTTCTGGGTTCACGCCCCGATCGCGCGCTGTGATGGTGGCTGGCAGGGCGTGGACGCTGATGGAGCAGAGGCCTTGGTGGGATTTTTTTATGGGTTACAGCTGGGATAATCGCTCATGCTCAAGGTGTAGGATTCGCACAGCCGGGCTTTGAGCCTTAATGAGGAGAGCCTAGAGGGCGCAGGGGCTGGGACTAAGGCTTTCGCATCGGGGAGTTTGAGGGTCCGCTTGTCAAGCAGCGAAGGAAGTTCTACGCGGGCATGTCGGCTGGATTTGGCATTCCATGAATTCTTGTCAAAGCCAAATGCCTGTGCCCAAACTGTCGTTGACAACCCCTGGAGACACCTTCAATCCCAAATGACAGGATGTAGGGTCATGGCCCCCAAGGACCTGCCCTACAAGGGTTTCTGGCCCCCATATCCCAAACCCTAAGCTGCAACATGCTAGCTGCATCCCAAATTCCAAGACTTGCTGTGAGCGAGCCTGTACCCTAAGCTATAGACTCTACTCTCTTCATCGTGAAAGCCAGGCTTTGACGCACTTCGCTTTTCTGGCTCGTGCTGAGAATGTGGCTCTTCTGCTGGCGAAGCCGTGTACGGGGAGGCGTTTTTAGGGTTCAGGGTTCAGTTTATCTTTGCTTGCGTTCTTTTTTTTTTTTTTGCTTTGCGTTTTTAATTGCAGGTCAGGTATCGGGCGTGAGGCACGGGATGTAGGCTTTGAAGGCTTTGCGTTTTGGTTGCACAGGCAAACCAATGTTCAATTCAATTTTACATCCCAATCCATACCCATAGTACACTTATCCAATGCCCAAAGCTCTCAACCCGAATGCTAAATTCCTGGCGCATCCTGGCGCTAAACCCTAGACTAAACTGTGTACCTGTGAAGGACGCACCAAATTCGCGTCCATGAGCCTTGGCGAAGTAGCTCAAGGCTTGGGGTTTGCAGGACTTTCCAGCTTTTCCCAATCTGCTGACGTCATGTTGACACTGCGTTTAGGTTGGGGAAACTGGCTTGAAGCTAGGGACTTAGGCGCAGCGTAGGGGCAGAGGAGGGATCCCACCAGAGCATCAGTACATTCGTTGCAGGCTTGCTTTTCATTCCGTTTAGTGGACGAGAGGCCTACAACCTGAAGCTCCTAAGCCTGTGAGAACACCCCCCCCAACAATACATATTCCCATCTTAGTACCAGTTTATACAGGGGAGACATTCATTCGTAGGGGGGCGGGGGGCCTTGTGGGCCCAAGAGCTTTCACAAAGATCGCAGCACAGCAGACTTCCCAACTCGATCTCCGAAAATCCAAAGTTCCACAACTCGCTACAATCACAAAACCCGGGGTATAGGGTTCTTGGTTTAGGGAACCCATTGGGTTATATTAGCGTTATCTTAGGGTTACATTGGGGTTATATGGGGATAATGGACAGAATGCTCCTTCCCAGGTCGAAAGCGAGGACTTTGAATACCTGGGTGATATTTTCCCTACACACGAGCACCCAAAGGGCACACCAAAAGTACCGGGAGTCCATGGGTAGGGACTTTGATTGGTTGTGAGCCTAACAACAAAGACCCACCACAAAATTTGTTTTTGAAAAGTGTGGCATTCGATATTCGAGGCATCACATGCGGGACTTCCACTGTTTGCTGATGCCGGGTATCTAGGCCCAGCAAAGATGCTTTGGGCTCTAGACCGTAGGTATGAAGGTCTTTCCGGCCCAGGGTACGGCTTGAAGGTAGATTCTTTGCTTTGAGATAACTGTCAAGTAGAAAGACTACAGGGATCACCGAGCCAGTGTTTCTAAATGTAAGTGTTTGCCGAACGTAGGGACACAGAAGCTTTCCGCATTTTGGGCCCAGTAAACCCTTTGGGATCGAAACTGCGATAGAGGACTTGCATCTAGACATTTAGGCTAAACAACCGAGACCCGAGACCCTCAACCATACGCCTTCAGTAGAACAGACTCTTGAACTAAGTGCTTGGGCGTTTGGGATGAAGGGTAAAGTGTTGTTGGGTCCAGAAAAGGGGGTGAGGTTCTGGGTGTCATTTGTGGGTGTTGATTGCTCAGGCATGGAAGTTGGAAGGGTTCTGGGTTTGCTTCAAAACGAATTGTGGGTTCAGGCTGATCGAAGGCGAATGATCGCGATCAACTACTGCATGCATGGATTCCACAGGTCTCGACAAGAAATGCCGACCTTGCAACACAACCTGGCACCAATGCTTGCTTGGTTGACGCGATTTTTCAACGTGAATTGTCCTCAGTAAACACGAGTTAAAGTTATTGGACATCCTTTCAGATGAGCATAGTTAGCATATGCCGGTTTAGCCTGGCTGTTTTTGAAGATAACAGGAGTATAACAGGTATGGTGCGCCTGCAACTACCTCGATGTCACGACATGCTCTGCATGCCTGGATTCTGGAGTTTCAGCACCCTCGAGGCTTTCCCGTACGTGCCCTGACTGTAGTGCGTGGATTTCGGGTTTAGGATTCTGTTTCAGGGTTTGGGGTTCAGGATTTAGGGTTTGGCATATATTCCGAGGTCCCAGCAAGTCCCAAGTATCCTCTATGGATGGATCCTCTGTAAGTCTTAGGTGCTTCTTTGGTCCTGAATGAGACATCCCACAAGACTCCTGGCACAGGCGGGTCCCATGAATCTCCAACAAACACCTATGTTACCGTCAACCAGAGGTCCTGGCACCACGACTGGCAAATTGACAGGTTGCAGGACTGACTGGAGGCCTGAACAGATACGAAGCAAGTGCACCTTGTGGAGCAGATTCAAATACCAAAGCTGGAACCATACGAGCCTTGGATGGGGCCTCTAGGCAAAACAGCGTAAGAAAAATCAGGGTAACGTGGTTCAGGGCTCGCACACCCACTTTTCTTCCTTCGATCATCCGCGAAGAAGGATCCTCCTTCTGGGCAGCACCAAATTGTAAGCGTGAAGTTCTAACCCTCAACCCTCGAAGCCTAAATCCAGAGGCTTCTGCTTCAAATCCTAGGTCCTAGACCCTGAACCTACAAAAACATACCAATGATAATTACAAGAATGGTTCGTTGCTATTATGGTTAATATTGTTATTCTTATATCTGTATATAGACCCTGAATCTCAAAATGCAAGGTGCAGAGGCACCGTTTCCCAGCGACATAATGGAAGCAGCCTCCTCGCATGGGGTGCAGCTTCCGAGTCTGCGCCTCAAACTTGGGGGTTAGTCAGAATTGTGTATGCTCGTACTAAAAGTGATTTTCAATGGCTATTTTGCCTAGGTTTGTCGTTTCGCCGGACTCAGCTAGTTCGGAGGGCTTGCAGCAAAAATCATGTTGCTTGCTAAGCTACTTCCTAAAGGTTGCGAAAGTAGAAGCTTACAGCCTAGCCCCATAGGAAGCTCAACATGTCACAGCCCCCACAGCAGCCAAGTGCAGTATCCCCTTATATTTCTCCTGAAATTTATTGCTCAGTATAACATGCAGCTGGGTGCTTTTTCAAATATACCCCCATATAGAGTCCTATTTAGGGATCATCATAATTCCTGTTTTGTTCCTGTATATCCATAGCGTTCCTAAGACCCCTTTATTTTGACAAGCCCTCATATACTAGTCTCAGACTCCCTCCGGCCTAAGGTCCTGCAGACTTGGCTAAGGCCTGTGAAAGGCTCAGAGCCATGCGAAGTTGTAAGATGTGTGGCGGGGAGATGCAAGAAATGCGTGCGCTGCTCCGGCATGGGGGATAATTCGTAATGGAAAGAAGAATGAAGGACAACAACATAAAATTGACAATCCCATGCTGGTGGGTATTACATCGCGGCTGAGTCTCCTATAGGGATCCATTTCTGCGTTGCCGGCTGACCACTAGCAAGAGCATGGAATTTTGATGTTAAACCTCTTTGTGGAGCGTAGGTCGGGGATCAGGAGACTCAGAGTTCAGAGGGGTTTCTCAAAATCGTAAGTCCTGGGCGTGTAGGGCTTCAAGAGGGTTTAAGGTTCACGGGGGGTGCTTGAGTTCTTTTGCACATTTTTTTGGGTCCTCTCTTGTAGATCAGAACATTGTAGGGGTATTTGGCAGAATCCTGACTTGGAATGCCAAAGCAGACCATTGTCAGGGTCCTGGCCCCATCGTTGATTCCCCTGACAACTCAGCATCTAGCATTGTTGGGTTTATAGGTGGTACCCCACGCTTGAGATTGAATCCTAATGTTTTTTGAAGTCACTAACTGTAGCAGTTTCCATTTTCTTTTCCATTATCCCTGTATAACCCCAATATAATAGTAGTTTCCATTTTATTTTCCATTATCCTAACCGTCAAAAAAGGGTACTCCAACCTGTGGAGGATCAGGGTTTGGGAGCTAACGCCTGTCCTTTGATTCCCCCTCCCAAGTCAACCTGCCACCTACCCACCGGCGGATCTAAGCATATGCTCAATCATAGTCCCTTCCTGGTACATTGGGGTTGGAAAAGAAGATGGAAATTACTGTTTGGGGTTTAGGGTTCTAAACCCTAAATTCTAAACCCTATGATTTCAAGCATTCTGGGTCTATTTTGGGACCTTGCCTTGGAGTGCGGCCGTGTGAAGCTGAAGTCATGCACTGTCTTCGCGAGCTTGCCTCAAGAGCATGGAGAGAGCGCATGCTTGGGCCAATGATGTCTAAGGTACTCTCATCTGTCTAGTTAGCACTCTATATTGTCTCTCGTTGATTGTTGCAAATATCTCGACAGAGTCACTGCAGACCTTATCCAAAGCATTTCCTTATACCACACGCCTGCGTCGTACCTTTGAAGACCGCAGCCGTGCTGGACGATCTAAGCTGCTAGCATGGCTGGCCTGGACGCTGGGCAGTGATGCGGAAGTTTCTCAAACTAGTCCTTGTGTAATCCTTGATGCGAGACCTGTCCCCTGTATAATCCTTAGACGGACCCTTTTCATTCTGATGTCATCCCTATACATCCTTGTGGTCCCTAAAGACACTCCCAGGTTAGTTGTTCAAAGCAATCTAAGCGTGGTGGACTGGAAGGGACATGGTCTAGTGGTTAGGGTTTGTGGAGTTTTTTTTGGGTCAGGTCTCCATACATTCTAGAGGGGCTTCCGTGATTGCAATCGGGTTTTGAGATGTGTTTCGGCATATTGCACGTGCATGAGGGCTACATCGGGACATCGCTAGACTTGTCCTTAGTGGCTGAGAGCACTACGGTTCTGAGACACCAGCTGTCATGTTGCTACAGCGTGAAGCGGAGGCTTCTTCAAAATTGTGGGGTCACAAGGAGCCCCACATTTTGGGTACGCTTCTGAAATAGTACGAGGACCCCTGCACGCGACGCGTCCTTTTGCGCTGTGTTGTGGCCATGGCTCCTCACCCTGGAAGCAGAGGTAGCGCCATAGAAGGTAGCATAATGCTTTTAGGGGTAGTTATTGGCTTTGGCTCATTTAGGAATTCAGGCACGCTCAAGGCCTCCGACACCCAGCATACTGGAACGTATTAGTGCGTTGGGGTGCGAGTTTGTGCGTGCCACAAGTAACATGCATCAAGCATACATAACCAACGGAACAGAACCATGCTTGCAACAAGTGGGGTGATTCTATCCTTGGTCAACAGGAGCCCAAATAGCTGGAACGGAAATTTACGAGGCGAAAGCCTGAAGCCGACTTGTCCCTAAGGTAAGTGCCCGCCAAGCCGGCTAACATCCTCAACACTAACCACGGACCCCCTCTTTAAGAAGCTTGTTGAAGAAGGAAATTCCCCTACAGCCTCCGCCGGACATCTACCGACCGGCCCCCGCCACCGCTGATGTTCGCTCAGGAGGCGGGGGATTGGGGCCTTCACGGGGTGTAGAAGTGTATGCGTTTAGCTTACTCTCCAGGAAATTTTGCGGTCTAGGGTTTGGGGCTTACAATGGATGGGTGTGGAGTTTAGGGACTGGGGCCCCTTCTAGATTCTGGGCCTGCTTTTCATGCTCTTAAAGGGTTCGAAGGTAAAACGCGGATCCTTTGTTGGGGAATTTTGTGGGGTTCCTTAGGGCCCAGGAGGTAAATCTGAGAGCTTCCTCCATTTTGCTCTTGTCTATCTCGGAACCCTTAACTGAAGTAAATGGCTGTGGAGGGAGGGCAGGGAGGGGGATAAACAAGGCTTGGCAAATGTCGCTTCTCGCCCCAGTTTTGCAAAACGCTCAGGTTGATGCGTTTGAGGTACTTGGACCTTTAGGGTTACTCTTGGGTAGTAGTTTCAATTTTCTTTTCCATTATCCCTATATAACCCCTAGAATAACCTAGTAGTTCCACATTATCCTTATATGTCCCCTATAATAAATATGGTTCAGGGCTTCTAGATTCTAGTATTTGAGGGGAGTTGCCACAGCAAACAGCAACCTGGACACAAAATCGTAGGCAGAAAGTTGTCCCTCTTCAGGGTGGGCAGCCCTTAATTGTCAGAGAGTTCCCGTGAATGGAGATGGACTTTTATCGACATTCTGGGGTGGCTCATGTACCACCATATGGTAGTTTCCATAAATAAGGAGACCCAACATAGACCAATATACTATAATCCTATTATGGGGGTCCCTACCAAACCACCATTTCTTGCACGCCTGATCAAGTTGCCAAGGTCTGGGACCTCCTCATCCGCCGCGCCTCTGGGCTTATTTGCTTTTCGCACGTTCAATGCAG